CGCCTGGGACGGAGCCATGCGGCGAGGCCCTGGAAAGCCGTGAGGGGCGCAACACCACGCGGGCCCAGGGCCAGGCCCCGCGGGGCACGGGCCGGCCGCGCTCCGCGGGGCCCTGCGTGTCTCCCGGACCCCAGCAGACCGTTTGGCTTTTCGGGCTCCTGGGGCGTGCCCCACCCTGCCTGGGTGTGAGCCAGCGGCTCCTGGAGGGGTGCCGCTGTGTGAGCCCCACGGCCCCTGGCCTCCGAGGGAGGGAGGGCGGCTCCCAACACCGCCAAGGGCCCCGCGCACTCACTGGCCAGGCAGTCGTCCACGTCCTCCTCGCAGTCGGCCCCGCTGAAGCCGGCCGGGCACTCGCACACGTAGCTGCCCTGGGTGTTGTGGCAGGTGCCGCGGTTCCTGCAGGGCTGGGACACGCACTCGTCCACGTCCACGGCGCAACGCGGGCCTGGGGCGGGCACGCGGCAGTGAGCGGCTGGTCTGGGGGCCCTCGGGATTTCAGGGGGCCGCCCCGAGGAGCCCCCGACTGTTCTCTAGCTCTGGGGAACCCCTGCAGGCTTCTGAGTCCGACAAGCCATCGCCGCCCCGCTGTAGTTTCCCGGGGAGCAGTTTTCAGGCGCAGGGTGGAGTCTGCCGGGCACAGGGGCCCCCAGACCGGGGCGGGAGGCTGTGGCGGCCACTGCCCAGGCCGTGCCCGCTCACTCGGCCTGCACTGCGGGTGCCGCAGCCCACCCCTTACCTTGCCAGCCGGGAGCACAGAGGCAGGAGTAACTCTCAAAGTTCGCAGCCTCTTTACAAACGGCCCCGTTCTCACAAGGGTTTGGGGAGCAGGGAGCCAGCACGATCTGGCAGTTCTTGCCTGCAGAGAAGCGACAAAGTCGATGACAGACTCTCAGTCAAAATAGCCGAAATGTCCCCAAACTCTGTGGCCAAGCTGCGCCCCCACTTCAATTCTGAAGGCGTGACCGCTCCCCTTTGGGGCCTCAGACCCACAACCTGGGCCCCCCCACCCGCACAGAGCGCATCCTCGGGCGGCGGCCCCGGCCCCGCTGACGCCGGCACGGCCGGCCTGGGACCCCGGCGAGACGCAGCCCGAGACCGGCTTCGGGGCGAGCAGCAGCGGCCCAGCGTCCACTGGCACCGAAGGAGGGGCCTTCACCCTCAGGGCCGGAGGGTGTCCTTGCACCAGCTGAAACTCTGCAGAGGAAGACGGCGACGTGCTCACGCGCCCTCACGCTCGGGAGTCGGGGCGGCCGGGGAGACCCGGGGAGGCCGCCGCCCCGCCGCCCCCGCGGAGACGCCAGCTC